CGGGATTTAGGTGACGACTAAGGGAATTTGACGACTTACAAGCGACGATTTACACAAGGAATTTTAAAGGAAACATCATTAGGAAAAATTTTGGACTTTTGCTTGAGCGTCGACTTGTGCACATTGACGAGTTACAAGCCGGCGACTTAGACCAGTTTTACTGTATTTCATAGTCAACTGTAATTGGTATTGTTGCAAAGTGGAAGCATTTTGGAGCAACAGTAACTCAGCCACAAAGTGGCCGACTATCTGAAGTAACAGAGTGGGGTCGCTGAGTGCTGAGCTGCATAGTGCATGAAAGTTGCCAGTGCTCTATTGACTCAACTAGAGAGTTTCAAACTTCCTCTGGCATTAACCCCAACACAAAAACTGTGCCTGGGAGCTTCATGGAATGGGCTTCCATGGCCGAGCAGCTGCAAGCAAACCTCACATCACCAAGTGCAATGCCAAGCGTTGGATGGATTGGTAAAGCACACTGCCATTGGACTCTGGAGCAGTGTAAACATGTTCTGTAGAATGACAATTCACACTTCTCTGTCTGGCAGACTGATGAATGAGTCTGGGTTTGGCAGATTCCAGGAGAACGTTACCTGCCTGACTGCATTGTGCCAACTTTAAAGTTTGTTGGAGGAGGGATAATGGTATGGGGTTGTTTTTTAGGGATTGGGCTAGAGTCCTTAGTTCCAGTGAAGGGAACTCTTAATGCTTCAGCATACCACAACATTTTAGTCAATTCTATTCTTCCAACTTTGTGAGAAGAGTTTGGGAATTGTGCAGCAGTGCACAAAGCAAGGTCTATAAAGACATGGTTGGGTGAGTTTGGTGTGGAAGCCCTGACCTCAACCCCACCAACCAACCCAAACCTTTGGTGTGAACTAGAATGGAGATTGTGAGCCAGGCCTCTACATCCAACATCAGTGCCTGACCTCACAAATGCTCTTCTGGATGAATGGACAAAAATTCCCACAGACACATTGCAAAATTTAATGGAAAGCCTTCCCAGAAGAGTGGCAGCTGTTATAGCAAAATAGAGGGGACCAACTCCATATTGATGCCTGGGGGTTTCAATAGAATGTCATAAAAGTTCCTGTAGGTGTGATGGCCAGGTGTCCCAGTACTTTGTCCATATAGTGTATGTTGATGAATGAAGAACATGCTGCTAAAAATAATCTGGTTAATGCAAATCATGGTCTGTGGAATGTATATTAAAATTTACTACTTGCTAAATTAGAATATTATATTAATAAATAAAACACATACATAAAGTAAAATTAATACCAGATAAATATCTTAAAATAAGTATTTCAAAAGAATTATAAATATATGAATTATTTTGTGCAAACTATATACAGCAAATTTGCACATTATGTAAAAAAAGTTTTGTAGTTATAGATGAGTTATAGAATAAGTATTTATAAAGAATTATAATGAATATCATTTTATGTAAAAGTATGCTGAGGACCCAAGTGGCTGGACAAGGCCAAAGGGACTCCCATGTAACACCAGGCTGCAGCAGATGGATGGCCATTTCTGGAGGGTGGGACTGGACCGTGTGTCTGCCTGGTTGTTCGCTGGCTGGGATCCCAAGAAGTTTCGCCATGTGGTGGGTGTTGCAACGCACTGCATCAGTGCATACAGTACTCCCCAACCTGACCTGACCTGACCAACCTATATACAGCAAATTCACACATCATGTGAAAATACACACACACACACAGCAGATATTTTATATAAACTTATCCTTACACCAGAAACATTACGCAGATGTCAGTTTCTTCACACCGCATTACCATCATTTCTGCATGCATTACGTTGAATTTCCATCTGTAAGATTGAATTCTTTACTAGTCATCATTGTTAATAAGTTTAAGTATAGGTAACCATGTAGTTGTTTGTCATCATTTCCATTGTAATTTACAGTCTCAACATCGAGTCCGTCTGATGATGAAAAGGAAAAAAAAGAAGAAAGTAAAAGACCTGGTACGCTTACTGATCGGCTTCACTGACAAGGAGATGGAAGCATATGCAAGATCTCAGGTACGAGCACCGATGCACATTTATGAGATTGTTTATCATGGGGAAATGGTGTAGAATAAGTATTTATAAAGAATTATAATGAATATCTATATACAGCCACACGGCCATGTGGCGCGTTTCCCTGAGTGGAATCCGGCTCACAGGACCAGGCCAAAGGGATGCCCACGTAACACTTGGCTGTGGCAGATGTATGGCCATTTCTGGAGGGTGGGACTGGAACGTGTGTCTGCCTGGTTGTTCGCCGGCCGGGATCCCAAGAAGTTTCGCCATGTGGTGGGTGTTGCAACGCACTGCATCAGCGCATACTCCCCAACCTGACCTGACCTATGTACAACAAATTATATAACATTATTATATAACATTATATAAAAATAACATTATATAAAAATGCACACACACAGTCGTGTAAACATATCTTTGTGGGGACCATTCATTCATTTCTATAATTGTTTGCCATCATTTCCGTTGTAATTTACAGCTTCAAAATCAAGTCCAACTGATGGAGAAAAGGAAAAAGAAGATCAAAGTAATGGACTTCATTGAGAAGAGGATGAAATCATGTGACGTTAATCCTCAGGGTCTTTCGAAATATACAGACTTCTTGCTGCTTGATTGTTATAGGCTAAAAAATGTACATTCCATTAAGGATCTTACTATCGAAGGAATTTTACAGCAGGAGGTTTTTACCTTTGAAGACATGAAGCTTGTTGCTTATGTGTGTCTTATGGGTAATTGGAAATATGAGAAGGATTTTGCTTTACTGCCGCTGGATATGCGCAAACAATGTGCTAAGATACTTCCTTCTGCTATTTTAAGTAAATATGGACCTCCCTCCAAGATGCGAGGAATCTACAGTATTTGTCATCCTGATAGGGGGGGTGTTGATCCAAGTTCCATTTTTGAAGAAAGAAAGTGTCTCGTTATATTTCCCAATGATCACCAGTTGATGAATCGAGAATTGAAGTATATACCATGTTTGTTTAATAGGCCTTTGGGTTCCATAATCTTTGAGGAAATTTGCCGGTTCATAAACATAGTACCGCACTCTGCTGGCGTCCTTTATTATGAATCTAATGGAAATATATGCAGGGTGACTGAATATAACGTTTCCACATACTCATTATTAGAATTATTGTTCAAAGAGAGGATTGAAATGAAATGTGAAAGCAAATATATAGTCTCTCTCACTAAAGAAGATTGGCAAGGCTTTCTGCACCGTGCTGCAGTTTGTTACATTTATGTTAAGGACCACTCGACAGCTACAGGCTTCTTGCTGTTTGATCGTTATATCCTAACAAATGCACATGTCATTAAGGATATTAGTAACNTTCAATACAATTTTTATAAATTGGGCTTCGTATTAATGATTTTGCCCAACTGTCAGCTAATGTAAGTGTTCTACAGTAAGCATGTTTAAGCTAAGCTATAGGTCAGGCTATGATGTTTGTTATGTTAGGTGTACTTTATTTAAATGCATTTTCGCCTTACAATATTTTTGCCTTCCGTTTGTCGGAACGTAACCCCATTGTAACACAGGGAGAGCCTGTATTCATTAGATATTTATGGAGCATGTGACTTTACGTCACTGCTCCTGACGAAGACATACTTTCTGTAAGGGAAAACAATAAATTAGAAACTTCTCAACTCAACTCACCAGCCAAACTGGTCAAAATTCCTGGACTATGCGTCATTGGCTGGACTATATATCTACGTGTCATCAAAACTCATTCAACAGAACACCTCAGAAGGTAATATTGTGTTTAAAAATTCAAATGTGTTGTTATTTATGTACCTGTATTTATAAGGATACCAGTGTTTGTACTCATTTTTTTGTGTTGTATTCTTGGTAATCACAGGGATTCTAGAATGATCTAATTTCAAAATTCAGGTCTCTAGCCTATATTCAGACACTTTTGCTAACTATTTGCTTTTCATTATCTGTCTTAACTGAGAAACGTCCTATCTATAAAAAATTACAATCATATTTCTAATATTCCACTGAGTTAGGCAATATGCAAGAAGTTAATAATTTCACCTCCTCTAACAGACTTTTAGACCTCATTTCATCAGAGGAGAAATCAAAGTTTGTCGGTTAATTTTGTTCTAACACTTTTATATCCACCGAGCACAAAAATTGCCATTCCTAAGTTTGTCTAAGGCAAATCTGCTCTTAACTTAATTCATGAGATGTTTTCATCTTCACTTTGATATTTGTCTTATTATTCAAGACAAGTCATTTATGGACAATGTGAATTTTACCTATATCCCTATCTCACTAAATACATCATTGTGAAATATGTCTGAATGTTTTTAAATATTGGTCTATTTGAATTGTAATTTTCTTAATATAGCTTACGCTTCTTCTAACCTCCAATCAGACTTTCAGTAGGGGAGGAAAGTCTTTAACTTTCATTAATATGTTTTGGTTGGTGCCACTTTAGCATGTGCTCTACCAGCTCAGCCCACATAATAACAATGTGACTTCAACCTCTGCTTTGGCTTTATTCTCAGTGTATCCCTTTATTATTTGAAATTTAAAGAATACAATGATGAATTATTGAAAATAACAGAATGAAACGTATGCATCAGTGGAATGTATTTATTTATGCACCGTCCAGCGGCTGAACATGAAAGCTGGTAAAGCTCACGCTAAAGGAGCACCTTTTGGTTTGCCTTTCCTGCTGAGAAAACATACACTATATGGACAAAAGTATCGGGACACACCTTTTAATCATTGAGTTCAGGTGTTTCATTCAGACTTATTACCACAGGTGTATAAAAACA